TCGTGGAAAATGTCAAAATCAGCCGCCGGAAGCGGCGAGTCGATATCAGCGGCGACTATTTAATTAAGTGCTAGATTTAAGACTTCCTGCGTTCTAAGAAGTGAACGCGCGAGAGCCGTCAATTAGCCTAATCTCTTGGCGATAACCCCATTGCCCTATAATTAGGCAAATAGAAAAGATCGCCGCCTAGTTCCAACTTGTGAGTTCTTGAAAAGGGACCCTTCCGGTCTCAAAAGATAAGACTCATTAATAAATTTGGCACACGCCAAACTACGCGAGGATCTTATCTACCGGCTGTCCACGCCGCACGAAATTTGCCAGATCCCGGATCTGAAGGGTCACCCCGGTAACCTTTTTTCCGGAAGCTGCGCCTCCCGAAAAACAAAGGAGCCGGACCGGGCTCCTAGGTATACATAGGGCTTCTCTGGGCATCTCGCGACACTCAGAATTCAGATTTCGGTATTAAGAAGTGGTGACTCTGTCACTCTGTCACTCTGTCACTCTGTTATTTTAACGGTCGGGAAAGAACTTAGAATCTGTGCGCGGTTGAAAATCGAGTGCCCAAGATCGCCCCTCGAGAGCCAGACAGAGAAGTCCCGCGCAACCATCTCTCGAGAAGCCCGGCTCGTACCCAACAAGTGAGCCCTGCCAGCTTCCCCAGCTCGCTTTCGAATTACAGCAAGGAGTAAGTCGTCACCTTTCTTTCTTAAACCGGGGTTAACTATTAACCGTGACTTGTCTCAAATGGGTGATACCCGATTGACCACGTCCCGATTGACCACCAGCCACTCACAGCGCTTGAACAGTAGAAAATCTCTAGGCACCGGCCGCTGTGAGTGGCTGTGGTCAATCGGAACGTGGTCAAACGGGACGCTCCCGTCTCAAATCAATCTCGTCCCCAGTGCGTCACGGACTAAACTTTAATGTACCACCGCGGCCACGCGACTCGCGATCAACCCGGGGTCGCCGAAGGCAAGAAGCATGGAGGCTTCTTGACCAGGCCTACCAGGAGTGGCTGAACTCCTT